GATTTTGTATAATCCTATGATATTTGCTCAAGATCAAAAACACTTCATTATCAACCTTACAGACTTCTTCAACCATTATTCATTTCAAAACAATGATAGTCTTTCATTTTTATGGATTTTATTATGGATCTTCCAATTTCATGTTCTTATGACTTTATATTTGTGATAGTAGATTGTGTCACCAAGATGGCCTATTTAGTACCATGTACAAAATCTATCATAGATGAAAAAATAACTATGCTTTTTTTTAACAATATCTATCACTATCATGGATTGTCTAAAGATATTATATCAAATAAAGGGACTCAATTTGTATCAAGATTTCAAAGAATATTTTTAAAGATTTTTAAGATAGATATAAAACTATCTTTGATTTTTCATCCTCAAATTAATAAATAAATAAAGCATGTAAATCAAGTTTTGGAGTAGCATTTGAAGTATACCATCAATTACTAATAAGATGATTGAATAATTTTTTTGCCATTGATAGAGTTTACTTATAATAACATAGTATATTTTTCTATGTACCAAATACTTTTTTTTGCTAATTATGGTTATTATCTATAACTTGATGCTTTTGATTTTTCAAAAATTAATAATCGTATGGCAAAATATTTGGCAAAAGATTTATTTTAGCTACATACAAAAATAAAGGTACAACTAAAAGAAACTTAAGAACAATAAAAGAGCAATGTGAATGCCTATCACAATGAACGACCTCATTTCCACATTGATGATAAGATATAGTTACTTCATTGTAATATTAAAAAGATAAATACCACAACCTCTTATAAAAGTGGATACTAATCAAAAAATTGAGGTAGAAGAAGACTTAGACTCAAGATGGCACCGACTTAGGTTGAAATATCTTATTCATTAACATAGACACAATATTAGCAAATTTACATGAGAGGCAACAAAAAATCTTACAAATGTAGTAGAGAAGGTCAAAGCTTTTCATCAACAATATCCATCAAAATCAAGATAAAGGATAGCAAATCTTTGCTATAAAAGAAATATAATTTAGGAAAGATTGCATTCTACTTTCTATCCTTGTTTATAGTTTTTGTATAATTGTAGGCTTTAAGAAATGAAGAATCAATAATTAGCATATTCAATTCAAAAGCCATCATTTGTTGACTTATTAAATGAGACATTACAATTATTACAACTTTTAAGATGGCGTAATAGAAATGAAGACCTTCAAGAATGACATATTTTTCTTCAAATAGATGACAAGATACAATGCATTTGGTATCATGACCTAAGAAGAGAGTCTAAATGTTTGGTGATTTTATTGGAGGTAGCAACAATTCTTAATGGAGTTATAAATATTTTGTTTGAAAGAAGTTAGAAAGGTCTCAACAATAATCAAATAATAGGGTAGTCTTTCTACTCTAAAATAGGACATTATCAATAGTTGAGAGGACTTATCAACTACCTTCAAAGGGAACAAAGATCAAAGTATGTACCAAATATAATTTGCTACATCTTAAACTTTTTCAACATGTCATCACTATTCCTCGTGGGACTTGTTTCTAAAAGAAGGGATAATATAATGGACATATATATAATATAATTATTGTTTAGGTAATATGAATAGGTAGAAGTAGTTAAAAATAAATTAATTTCATAATATCTTCTAAGAAAATTTTTTATAAACTTTATAGATATTGCTTTAACTTTACATGTATTTATAGTTGATTAATAGGTTAGAAACTTAGTCAACAAATTAATCATGTACCACTTGTATTAATAGCTTACAAAAAAAATTAATTATATGGTGCTTATATAGAAAACTTGCCTTGGAAGTTAAAATATGTGTTATACAAAGTCAACATATTTTGGAGGTCCTATAGAATGTCGCCATGTAGCTCCTACTTAAACAATATATATATAGAAGCAAGAATAAAGCCTTCTTCACTCTTGTCAATTTCTTTCTTGTTTTTAGTCTAGTTTCAAGAAGTCTCTAGTTTCTTTGTCTTTTGATAAAAGTTATTCTAATTTCTATTTAATATACATACTTCTTTATTTCTATTTTATCATATTTCTTTGAAAAAGTCTCACTTGTTTATTTTCTTTCATCAAGTTCTTGTTCTTAATAGTGAGTTGATTTTGATTGGATTCATAATGCATTTTTATGGTTCCAGTTGCATTTCAAGCCATATTGGATTTTGATTTTCATTTAGTTCTAATTTATTGCATTGATTTTGATTGGATTCTATTTGAAGCCACATTAGATTTTAATTATCATTGGATTGCAAAAGCTCATGTAAGAACTTTGACTACAAAGGATTTTGATTAGATTTTTTTCAAGTATGGACACTTGACCTCTTTGATCATGTGTTTGTATCTAATATGTAATATGTATAGTTATCATTTTAATGATCAATATTATATTAAATTTTACTTTGTGATCTTGATTTTTAGATGTGTGTATATTTTTGTTGATCTTCTATGGAATTCAACATTACTTCTCTATTTTTGATTTGCTCATTTTAATTCTTTTTTATTCCTTTCATGGATGAAGTTTCTACTTTAGAATCAAACCATTCTTTAATTATCTTCAGAAGTATGTTTAATGGAGTTTTTTTGTGCATGATGTGCACGTTGTGGCACTATAGTGAAGTTTCAAGAGTTTATTTAATTTATAAAAAAATTCACTTCTAAAGAGATAAAAGAAAAACAATGCAGAATTAAGCAAGCAAGTAGCTAATGTATTGATGCAATTAATTATGCCATCCTAGTAGAATTGATTGCAAGTGGCATTAAGAGGAGAATGTTAGAGTACGAAAATGAGATTCTATTGTAACTCAATCAAGTGAATGTGGTTGGTGGCACAAACTCTTTTTCTCACTTTTTTTTGAAAGATTTTATTTTTTTCCATATGTTATGTGCCACAAGTAATAGAGAAGCAACTCATAGCTCTCTTCATCTAATAACCAACAATGCCGATGCCTATTTCAAATAATGTAAAATTCTTTTCTATGAATGAAATTTACAATTGAAAATTCACAATCGAGCAAGTACAATTGTGGATGTAAAATCATTCAAAGATTAATATTGACAGCTCATGTATTTTTTTTTACTAGCATCTAAAAGAAATAAGATTGCATGTGAATAAAAAGCCAATAATTATACCTTTGAATCTAACTTTGGTATTATTGTGTGCGACATTTACTTAAGTAAGTTATGTTTATGCAAAAAAATTCATATATAAATTATTCCACAATTTATTGAAAATTTATAGCAATCACAATATGAAGTTTGTAATTATTTTTTTAGTTTAACAAATAGAAAGGTATATAAAAATTATTGATTGTGTGAATGTGTTTTTGAACCATGTTGGATTTAAGTTCTTTTCTTTTTTCATTGTATTTTCAATATAAGATTAGTTTAATTATTATTATATGCTATACTTTTTTTTTTTTAATTTTTTTTTTTACAGATGTGTTATAAGATGTGTCTTATAAAATGAATTGATGTTGATTTTTTTTATTTTTTAATTTCAAGATAAATTATTTTAATTACAGTAGGTGGTTTAAAGAGGTCCTTGCCATTGCCAAGGAAGCCAGAATTAGCTCGACCTCTCAGGAACTGACCTCCCTTGTTGCATGGACATCCTTTTAAACCTCTGCAACCTAGAAAATAAGGACAAACTTATGGGTTTGAAAAAGCCCCTCTTTGATGATAGCTTGAGGAGCCTCCTCAAAATCTCATGGTTGTATCAAAGCTTGTTGCTAATGCTTGTTCATCTTCTAACTGAGTTGAACGTTGCTGGATCTTAGCGGCTTTTGACAGTAGCTTGGACGAAAGTTGATCAAAAGTGAGTGGTATATTGAGATTGCTCAAAGTGGTCACAACAGATTTATAGCTTTGTGGCAGCTCATTTAGCAACAACTGATAAATGCTGGTGTTTGATAATGTTTGACCCATCAATAGTAAGCAATTCTTGATCTTTGTTGCGCGATTCACATATTCCTCCATGGATCCTCCTTCTTGCATGCAAAGTGAGTGTAGCTGATTTGTAAGCATAAAGAGCTACAACTAATCTCCAGCAGCAAACTTGAGATATAGGACTTGCCACGCTAGTGCCGGATCTGCAAAGGTGGCCACAAACTTAACACATTATTCATTGATAGTTCTATTCATAATAGAGCGTAGATCTTTGCTTTTCTCATCGATTGCTTTATATATGCTATGCCTGCTACATCGATAGAAAAGTTAGCAAGTTATATATGATTCTCTGCTAGATTCCATACGTTCTCTCTTCTCTTGATTGCTTTCATTTTAAGCTGCCAAATGTAGTAGTTACTAGCGCCTTGAAACTTGTTAGCTTCACCTACCGACAAGTAATCCTGATGACCTTTGCCATTCTGATTTCTTCCTTTTTTCTTTCTGTGAGTTAGAAGATTTTGAACAAGAACCACGACTCTATTCTTTGAGGATCAATCCAGGCTATTTGTCTTCAAATGCAGGTCAAGACTTGCTGATTTGCTTTCCGTATTGGACGCAGAGCTCACGGCACAGTGACTTTCTAAGGAGCTGTGGTCACGGCACAGTGACTTTCTAAGGAGCAATGCTCACGGCACATTGACTTTCTAAGGAGCAGTGCTCACTTTCTTTCTGTCTCTCTAGTTACTCATAACCTATTACTCTCTAGGACTCCATCATTTTGATACCATGTTAACAAGAGGTGATTAGCAAAGAATATGCACAAAAGATAAATTGAGACAAAATATATACACAAAGTAACTGAGTATTTTAGGTCCCCACATAATAAAGCTAATGAATGAAAGTTAACCCTGGATGTAAACCTATGGATGATGAATGGGGCTGAGTATGTTGCATTGGCAAAATCAACAAATGTGGGTTGTTTCATGAAGGTGTCCCAGCCATTCTTGTGTAGTTTCTCACCATGGTGACGCTACATAGATGTGGGGCTTTCAAGTTTGGCATTTTAATTCAATAAGAGGTTTAAAGTAACAGGGAAACGCGGATCTTTTCAAGAGTTATTTATATAAATGTCAGACCAATTCTCAAATGTGTCGCATCATGATACCACAGCACTAAAAGTGTTTTATCACCTCAAAATTCAAGTGCAGCTACACCACAGGTACAAACACCAGATCATCTTTTCTGATGGTTAGGATTCTGTTTCAGAACCCCAGTATAAAGGAGCTAGAGAGGAAGATCTCATGGATACGACATACGAAGTTGAAAACTAGTCGGAACTTGGTAGAATATGTGTTACGATTCTTCAGTTCAAAACTTTCATTACCATTCGTGCAGAGAGCTTAGCCTTCCAAAAGTTTCTACCTGTTGGATGAAGATCAGTTCTGAATTGTACAAAGACGAGGTCTACTACAAAATAATCGCCCGTTGGCTCGAACCAAGGCTGTCACTCCTGCTGCTATTCCTGCCCACAACACTCCAGAGACATAGCGATATGCCTCTGCGTATAATCAAGTCAGTTCCACCTGTATAAAGACTCAAAATTAAAGATTGATTAGGGTTTTAAGCAAGTAGAATCCACATACTAGGCGATGCAGCAGATACATTGCCTAACGTGAAAAAATTAAAACCATTATAATCTTAATAAAAACTTTGTGGATTCAGGAAGGGCATAATACCGAACAAAGTCGCCCTTGAGTGCTGGAGTACCAGCATACTGCATGCTTATGTCATCTCCATTATCAGCCCACACTGTTCCTCCCCAAATACAATCAAACACGCAACACATCACCATTCCATAAATTGGTGAATTTTTAGTTTCTCTGACCTAAGAGTATCTCATCAGAAGCAAAAATCATTCGAAAAGAATAGATCGAGTATAGAAGTGCACAAGGCATGGAAAGATGCAAGCCACTTACTGCGTTTAAATTCTTTGTCCAAGTCTTGGTGCTGCTCCAACTTTTCAGATTGTTGAAATAGGTTTAACTTTATTAGTTGGACTTCAAGTACTTTCCGTCCGAACATACTCTGCAGATGTGGTAGCCTTAATAACCAACTGAAGTCTCTAATTCCACGTTGAGGATACACGAACAAGCAAGTCTTTCTTAACCTGGGATTACTCATTCCTAAGTGGACGGACTTTTCCATTCCAAAGTACAAAACGAGCATGCCTCCACAAAAAAAAAAAAATAACAGTGTTGAATTAATGAACAGGCAAAAATATATGGATTCAGTTAAATCAGAATCGTATACCTGAGTGACGTTTGTGCGGTCTAGACAGTCGATGCAATTGGTCCTCAGTACACCCTCCTGTTTTTGTAGAACCTCTTCTGAATTCTTCATGAAGAAGCTGAAAGGAGCACACAAATTCATATTGTTAACAAAATCAATTACAATCGGATGGCCACGCTCAATCCCAAGCAACATTACCAAAGTGTATGCAAAGCGGGGAAAGTACAGACGATTGGTCCATTCTCTACAATTGAATGCGAAAAGAAAAACTTGATTCACAACAAAAAAAAGCTAAATAAACAAACAATGATGCTGAAGATGATGATGATGATGTTTGTGATGACAACAAGACAATCACAGGAGACCCAGACATATCCGAATTCAGTCAAGTATTGCTAGAGTCTATTGTTATATATTAGAAGAGAAGAAACTGTGATGCGTTCCGTTGACAAGATTAACAATTATTCTTAAAGAATTACCTTTGCTTGCTCAGATCCTCAGCAACACTAGGATACAAATCAGTGTCCAGACGCGTAAAATCCAACTGGCCGCAGATGTGATGGAAATCAAACGGCACGTACCTACAGACACTTACAAATCATGGCATAATTCACATACTACAGCACCTTCATTTATTTAAAATCTCGGGTGAACGTAACACAGGCATAACTGAAAACATGAATAGCTAGATGTTCATTATTCATTTCTGAGCAATCACAATACATAATTGCAGAGACCTGATAGAATCACTGGAGATGCTCTCCATTGCCTTAGCAAAAGCGACACTCAAAACTCTTTCTGGGCCTTGCTGCACGACCAAGAACACAGCTGTCAGCGTTCAGATCCTAAGTGCAAGTCCAGGGGTGAAAAGTGTAAAAGAGCAACAGAACATGTTCTTCATGTCGACAGCACTTCAGTAACTGCAAAATTATGCTTCTTTCCATGCAAACACCTGATTGATGAGGTCCACCGCCACAACATCTCCGTAACGGTTATATAGATCTTCAAAATGCTGCTCCACCACCTTTGGCTACAAACCATGTCGTCAATTTGTTTCCGTTACGATCCTTAATCCTTAGGCATTAATAGACTCTCAATAGACTATTTCCTCAAATCCTACTAGGAAACAAAAAAATCAGCAGGCCCAACTCAGAAAGTATCTAATTCAATAATCACTGTACTTAAGCGGAACATACCGTTTCTTCATGATTCAAGTCAGTAATGGTGGGATTATAGGTCAGATCCACGATCTGCTCCCATAAAATAGGAATTGAACCACGAATCTGAGTCATTCCAAGATAAGTCGATAAGCATCAAACTGATTTACGCTCAGCACGATTCCTAAAATTTTGTTAAGCTTATAGCTACATCTACCTGTTCCAATAATATTCATTATCATGACTCAGCTTACAAGACTAGCGGCATCTATGCACCTGCACATAAGAGAAAACAAAATCCTCAGCCTCTAGAATTTGTTCTGTTTCAACGAAGTTGGCAGCATTGCCTTTGCTGTCGGCGCCCCTCCTCCACATGCGGGTACCTGCAAACAAAAGTTAACAATCTAAACCATCTGAATTTTAAACTAATTTGATTTCAATCAATTTTGAAATGGTTATTGTTGGTGCTTCTAAACGACTTCGTTTTTCTCAGGAAATGCCGCGAACATTTTCCTGGAGACAAACCTAAAGCAGCAGAATGTTCTACTACTGTAAATAAAGGGCTCCAGCAAGTGAGATCATCCCTCACCTACACGGCGCATACACCGGCGGGAAACAATAGTCAGCTTCACACTTCTGTTGTTCACAGTTGCTTGAGCACTTCGGAAACTTGAATGCAATTAAGGACATCAATATGTTTGAGAATCATGAAACTAGAGAAATTGGAAGCAAAACAAATTTCCTTGAAAGACCTATTGTGTGGATATTTAGATAATGATAAGTACAATGACCTTAAGAAAAAAAACGGAAATTGTATTAAGAGGATATTGCCTTGAATTATGGGCACGATAAAGGGGTCCAACTGCACACAGAATTACAGCATATCATTAAACTGAAAATAGATGATACTACCATGGCATCAGAAAACGAGCAAAAGTCGTCATGAATACAAATTGGATTACATTTGGAGGGGTTCAACAAGAAGTAACACGACGATCTAGTTTTGCAGAATGAAAGTTGCAAATCCGAATTTTACGAAATTAAGAGCAGCGACCTCAAAACAGGGAAAAAAAACAAAACAAACCAAAAAAAAAAAAAAAAAACAAAACAAAACAAAACAAAACAAAAACAAAAAACAAAAACATAAGTCGATTGAACACTACGCTAAAATGTAAGTGAAGTTATTCATGCTACCTGGTAATGGAATAAGAAAAATTTGGTTAAGATTCTTTCTTAATTGGTCAAAATGGAGGATACAAATATACATAGATTTGAACAGAAAGTTCAGAGTCATTATCCCCCAACCTATCCCTCTTCCGATAGACGTGCCCATGCCGAGACTTCACCCCAGACGCCCAACTTTCAATACTTTCGATACGTAAGTCTATTAGATTTTGATTACCTTTGAATTGGTGAATTCTTGAAGCAAGTATTCGTTCCACAGGAATCTAGACTCAGCCTGGTTCGACGACAGTATTAGAAGTTTTCCTCTACAAAGTTAAGGTTGACTCTTTGTAAAAAGACCCCAGACTGACAACAATCGAATGGACTGAATTATTCTTGCGAAAAGTTTGCAGTAAAATATAAGACAAGCTGTGCAAGCATAGAAAGAATCCTACAATCCAAGCAAGAACAAATAGCCACAGTAGTTGTCAAGAATTTTCCACCTGCTGGTGCAGAGGCAGCCTATGTAGCTCCGAACGAGCCATAGTCGCCGCCTGGGCACTGCAAAGATGTGTGCCAATTAGAATTTTGATGATCCATGAGCAAGTTTTCCAACCAACGCTTCAATCAAATGTCAGAGGTTACTCCGAGATGCAATGAAACCCTCGTGCACCCTAATCAACACGACGGTTCACCCTGAATTGGACACTCTACCAATATTGCTGGCCATGTACACAATGCGCAAAAATTAACAAGTAAAAACAGTAGATACACCAACTTACGTGCGTGTTAAATCCGCGTCGTATGAGAAATAAAGACCTGGAAAAGTCTCCACTACTTTCAACAAGCTTATATAATGCGCTTCATCCCGTCTCTGCACACATTTTAGGACTTATTGTGAAGAATGATTGATTGAATTGACAACGGAACCTGCTCTCACTCTCTCGAAATGTGCGACAAAGTCTTCAATTCGTCATTGATAAGCACAAATTGCGAAAGGTAATGGAAGAGCTTATGAATGACACACGGTGGCAGTTCCGGACACAAGTACAATTACTGCGAGCCCTAATAGTAAAGATTGGATACAACAGACCTCTTCTGGAGACACATCTCCCAGTCTTTGATTGCAGTAGAGAAACTGCATTCGTGTTACTTTGTAGACAGGTGATCCACGATACGACCCCACTTCCTCACGTCCAGTTACCACAAGGATGTATGCACCTGATCCGAGAACAAAAAACTTATTGCAATCAGAGGATGAATCTTGAGTCCAGATTTTTAGAAAAGTCCAAATTAAATGCACACCTCAAGGTTTAGGGTTCCAAGAACCTGCCTGCCAGTAACCGAATGATGCCAGCGACTCCATAGGCTTCCCCCTCAAGCACACGCTGATGAATGTGACCACTTGGCACATGATCTGTGCAACGAATCTTGAGGATTTTAGTAACAAAACCTAAAATGGAGCGCTTGCCGATCACAAGTGATGTGAGACAAAGCCTGCCCTCATTGGCAGAACTTCCAGAGCAATCGCTTTCAAGACATTACACAATTGAAAGAGTACAACTAAGTATGTAGGAGCCCGCAAAAGAACGAATAAATCACTGATTGACAAAGCTTACCAAGTGGAACTATTTCGCCATTTGCACGGCTAATGGCAAGGCACTGAGCTGGTGAGAACCCATCTGTCGGTTCCAGCACGTACCGATCCGGGAGCTCCCACAGGCGAATGCGACTGCATAGCCTGCAGTTGCCCGCGAACTCCCCCAATTCTCTCTCATTGGAAGCCACGATGATCGAATTTTCAAGTATAGGATAATAATGAACAGGCCACTATCGTGTTAAGGGTCCAAACTCAGCAGAAAGCACTGAAAGTCCAGCAACATCGAGCAACGCTTTGAATGACCTGCATTTCACGGCGAAGATCAACGTGATATGCAGATGAGGGAGATATCAACCTCGCCCCGGCGGTTTATCGCTAATTGCGCGGATATTGCACAGACGAAAACGATCACAACTCCTCGCAAAGCATTCAAGAGAATTCAAAGCATGCTAAAGCTGCCATGGCTGATCACAGGTCGAAAGCTCTTGCACTCCCCTTGACCGGATCCAGTCAAAGCGCTTCTATTATTAAATTCGAGTAACATAACCAATTCTACTTGCGCCTAAGAAGGATTCCAACCCGTGGGACGAGAACCGCAGAATTAAGCGAGCAGTTTGAATCACACCGAGTGTGGAAGGATTAAGCGCGGAAACTTTCGATAGATACAAAAACCTTCCATCTGCCCATTGTTCAGTGCACCAATCCTCACTGCCAAACCAATCTCCTTAGCGTCAGCTTCAAACTTGCCAACCATTCGTCTCTTCCCGACGTCAAAGGTCTTCCCCTACGAAATCGTCACGGAAACCCCCAATCACGAAAGCAAAAAAAAAGGTTTGATTGGTGAGGAAATTCGGACATTGACGACGCCCGAGGAGATAATGATAATTGAGCGCAAGACAACAAATCCATCGGCTGCCGCAACCTGACGGCAACATTCCCTCACAATTCACGAATCCTTCTCGCTTCAACACACGTCATCCAACCCGGACATCAACGGGAACGGAATCCAAATCGAGGTTGCCGCGCTGCATCCCACTCCACCAGGGCAGAATCCTGCAGTGCAAATTCTCGGATTACAGAATCCTGTGTTTTTACACTATCAAAGGCTAATTCATCTTACAGACTCTTCCTCGTGTACAAATTCCCCCGCTGCTGTAAAATTCTCAAACCTCACAGCTGTCCGGGCACCCCACGGAGACAAGTGACACCCCAACGACCGAATCGGTGTTCAGAAGTCGTGAACAGAGTGGGGTAGTTTGAAGAAACAGCGAAACGCAAACTCGACTCGTCGTAATAGGTCGGTAACTAACGGCGGGACTGTTACGATAAGTGAGGATAAGTTCTGGCAAGCAGCGCCGAGTCAAGGATTCTGTTCAACACAACGAACAGCGGGACGCAAAAGCAACGTGACACGGCGGCACGACCCAGACGAAGCGGGGCCGGGGAAAGGGAAGGGGAGGGGAATTGTGGGGGCCACTCGGAATTGGGTGGAAGAGGAAGGAAGGAGGAGGATCTACATCGGCGAGGAGTCCTTCGGTGGGTGGGTGGATGGATTTGAGGTGGGGCTGCGTCGGCCCCACCGACGCTTCTCACTCACAAACCTGCGTGTAGGCCGACGTCACGACCTCGCTTCGGATCCGAACCTGCTGCCGACGCCGCCGCTCTCATTCATCCTCCCAACAGGATCTCACATCTATCGTATAGAGGCCTCGTACTCATCCAAGGATGAATGCTCGCGTTCATCCTTTCGGGGTCGTTGTTCATCCCTCTCAGAGGGTATTCATTCTATTTGTTAAAATTTGTAAATTGGTTAGATAATTTGATTAAGTTTCACAAAAAAATAAGAAGATAATTCTAGTAAGTTAATGTGATTTTATTTTATTTGATGTAATAGAATGTAAATTTACTTCATGATTTTATTTCCATTGTGATTAATTGATACTCGTTTGTATATCACTTTTAATTATATTTTTTATTCTATTTTAATTTTTTTTCTTTTAAAAAATGAATATGTTTTTTTATTTTTTTATTTTTTTAATCATATGTATATATATTACAGGAGAGAGACTATAGCAAATAGAAAAAAGACTACTGATTTATATTGGTTTTGTGAGAATCTTTCTTACAATTGTGTCTAAACAATAATAAAAATATCAAGCCATGTACTATCAATGCTTATTAGATATAATTTTAGATGTAGATAGATCTAAAATCGCAAGAAGTTCTGAAGTTAACATTTAGATTAAGAGAACCTCATTTAAATGTTAACTTTTTTGTCTTGAAAAAAATAAAACTAAAACAAGATTTCTACTTGGCATGTTAAAAATTTATTTTAAATCAAATAAAAAGATTTTTTTTTCTTCATTATTTTATTGAGTTTTTTTAAAGTTCTTTTAAGATTTAAAATGGTTTTAAATTATACTTTTTAACAAATAGAAAAAATTAGATCTAAGCCAAAGTAAGATAATATGTTTTTTGTAATTGTCTTTACAAATATTGCTTCAACCTTCTTGACTTTAAATTGATCTACATCACTACATTATTGAAATAGATTTTATGTATTAAAGAATTTATCTTTTTGAGTCTTTGTTAACTAATCCAATTAATTAAAGGTGATTTAGAAGAACCAACTTCACATGGAATTTTAGACCAATTGTCAAAGTCATGAATCTCAAAGAAATAAATCCTTAAAATATTCTTGTGTCATTCAAAACGACTAAGAAATTAATCAAAGATGATCATATATTAAACTAAAATGGCTATTGCCAAAGACAAAAAAATTAGAAATTTTTGAAACAACACTAAGGACTAGAAACGCATTGACAAGATTGAAAAAGGCTTCACTCTTGCTTCTAAATATAATCTTTAACTAAGAACTACATGGCAATATTTTATAAGACCTCCAACATGTGTTGATTTTGCTAGACACATGACTTAACTTGTAAGGCAAGTTATCTATACATACGATGTCGTATTACATGAAGTCTTGCTTGAAAATGTGTTGGACACTTGGCTAAGGAAGATAAAAGGAATTTGTAACAATAAGTCATAACCACTCTGATAATATTGTACATAAATTGCTATCAAAGCTTAATAAACATAATCAAGCATCAATCAAGTTAAATTATTATTATTATTATTTTATTTTATTTATTTTTATAAATTATAATAAAACACAAGAAATTCCTAAAGAAACTTAAAGAATCCTAAAAAATCTAAAAGAAATTTAAAAGAATCTTTAGAGAATTTTAAAGAAATCCTAAAAAATCCTAAAAAAATCCAAACCAAACATTAAATCAAACCAAATCCTAACCATAACCAAATCCTAATCCTAATCAAATCCTAACCATAATCAAAACCTAAATCTTAACCAAATTCTAACAAATTTTTTAAATCTCAAACAAATTTCTAACAACCTTATAATAGATTTTGAAATTCAATATCTAATACTTTAACCATTGATTTCAACTCAAGTTTTGCATATTATTCACTAATTAATTTAACAATAAGCACAAAAAAATTAAAAAGGATCCAAATTATCAAATAGATGATAATCTCAAAAATGTGCTCAAGTATTGGCCGGCTTCATTTTCTGACCTTGATGCTAATCTCCTTAAGCCAATTACTTTTGATTAAACCATTCCTTTGCTCCGAAACTTTATAAAATTATTAGAAATCAAGTTGACTATCTTTATAAAATATTTTGTTTTAATCTAATTGGCGGATTGACAAATATTTAAGAAAATCTCACTGGTCCTCAAAATCCAAAATTTTGAGACCATATCCCACAAAAACCTTCATGCTTTTCAATCTAACCATTTGATCAAATCCAAATTCATAGCACACATGTAGCACAAATACAACCAAAAATCCAAAAAAAATCACATATAGATTTGTTACCAAACTTCTAAAATTGTCCAAAACGTCAATCCTATTTTATTTTTCAAAAATTGGAGTCACTGAAAACAACATTGATTTTGCAAAGCTCTTACAAAGTCATTATCCACCTAAAATCCTCAATATCAATGCCTATAGAAATCTTATTAAGTCTACTTTCCAACTTCATTCTCTGATCAACCAAAGAACCCCAAAATTATCATCAATGTTTTGTTTTGTGTTTCAAGGTCTGATTAAGATCCTAATTGGTAATTGATCATCTTTGAATATCAATTTTTCTTCTTTTTGACATAAATTCTAATAAAACCAACTCCTAATTCCCTCTTATATATGTCTATATCTTTCATTTTTCTAATCTTCTTTATTTTGCCTTATTTATGGCCCTACAAAGTAAGTAGAAGCTAGTTTTTTAAAAAAATAATATTACTATTAAAAGTTTTATTACCTTCCTATTTTCTATCCATATTTTTTATTTTAACTTTTAACTTGGTTCTTCTATAATAAGATCTATATTATTATCTTTCACCACATAATTATGTTACAACACGACATCCACCCCCCCTCAACTTATGCATCCTCTGGTATGCACCAAATAATCCAACATTGTTTCATTCATACTATATTATCTATGTCTTCATCAAAGTCATCTTCATCATTTTTGTTATTCAAGTCAAGTTCATCTTCTTGTCTTGCAAGATTTATGTCATCAATAAGGTCTTCAATATTTATTCTTATCTGTTCTTTTTGGAATATCTTCACTCGCTTCCTTACAATTGGTATTTTTAATCTTGTTTCATCTAGCTTTCATAATCAATAAGTTGCATTATTATGAATAAGTTTTACTAGAAATGGTCCAAACTATCATTTAAAATATTTTTCAAAGTATTATGTCAATTGTTCAAGCTTAAAATATGCCTAGACTATCTCAAAAATCTAAGATCTTTTCAATCTACAACAACATAAGGCCTCTTCACAAAATAAGATAAAATAGACTAGAACAAAACTAAATGGAATTAAACAAAATAGGACATGAAAGACAAAATTAAGCAAACAAAAACAAAATAGAAAAGATCTGAATAGAAAGATGTAGAATCAAACTTTACTAAGAAAAATGATTGTGAGCACAATTAAAAGATTCAATAGTTAGTTACAATTACTTTTATAATTTTTTACATATTTTTATTAATTTTAATGCTAAGATGATTAATTAATAGATCTAAATTAGTTATTTAGTTAATTATGACTTTTATCATATTTTTAGATTATTAATTAGATAGGTACTTTTAATTATTAGATTGATTGATTATTAAAATTCTAAAAATAGTAAATTTATAAGATCTATGACTTTTTTCTTGATTTGGTTTAAATTCTCTTTTAGTGCCAAAACTAAAATTTTAGTAGAATTTCTCTTCTAATTCTTAGAATTATACCTTGAATTAATCTATAATATTAATTTTTAACTTCAAGTCTAATCTCTGATTTGACTATGATTAGAAAACTCTTCAAATCTAATTACTCTATCTTCTTAATTAATTTCAAGATTTTGAAGCTTAAATTCCGTTTTATAATTTAAATGGATTAAAATTTATAAAATCTAATTGTTAAATTAATGATGATCTTTAGAAGATAGAGATAAGCTATTTTTATGGTGGATTTTCCTTTCATAGTGATTTTTATTACTATTTGGAGTTGAAGAATGGAGAAAAAAATAAATAAATCAAAAATAAAAAGCATATTAATTCAAGGCCAAATTGAAATTAGAAGTTGTGATTTACCAAGAGTTTGTACTTAAGAGAGTTCAAATTTAAGAATGGTGATTATGAAGGCTTTAATGGCAAGAATCCTTGCTGAACTCCTAATTAGGATACTTAGAAGTAGAATTATAGTTGAAATTTATAACTAGATTAGCAAATTAATTAGTTTTAATGATTTAGAACTTGGATTTGAGCTTTTGAATAGTCAATATTAGGATAAAGATATATTTTGGACACATTGGTATTCTTATTTTTGCCAAAAAGACATTAATTTCTGAGTTATGGTATTTCTAGCCTTAAAATGGGATTTAAGCCTGGAATTACTAAAGGCCATAGATTTAGATTAGGAATCCTAGAAATCAAAGGTGGAGATGTGGCCACCCTCCTACAAGTCTCTACTCACTTGTATAATAGTGGTTGGGTTTTCCATGCCCTCTCTCTCATTTTTTATGGCAAAGCTATACCAAATTTTCATATTTATTAATAAAAACTCCCTCCATTTTATAACTGCTTAGGTTTCTGCCACTCAGTTTCTTCAGTTGTATTTTTTTCTTACAATATTTTGTGACCATCTTTCCTTAATTACTAGCTTTTCAAGGACACCAAGCACGCATAATTTGAAGCTTTAATGAATTGTTGGCAGAATTTCAAGTGAAGAAGGGTGCATTGCCATGGCCTCGGAAAACTACCAACTTCAAAAAATCATTGCTCAATGATCTTGATCTTGCTTTCTAAGTGGTTTTCAAAGTTTATTTCATTATAAAGTATATTTTTCAGAAAAATTTTGGTAAATTTTTTTAAAGCTTATATAAATTTTTAGTGGATTCCTAAGTAAGATGGGGTTTGAGAGGACTTTTGACGGATTTTCAATTAACCAATGTAGAATAGATATTAGTTTATTTGTGTAAGACATTGGTAAAATAGACTAATAGTCCATAGAATAGTCAGTTCAGGAGGATAGATGATTGATTTAGTTATTAAAAGTAGTTAATTCCAAGATTATGGTTAGAATCTGGA